GCTGCCCAGATGCTGCTGGAACCCACTCTAGGAGGGAGCTGGGGGGAGGGATGTGGGGCAGAAAAGGCAGGGGGAGGTGGGGGGCTCTGCCATGTGGTGGTGGAAGCCTTGGTCCCAGAGAGCCTGGCAGTGCTCACACCTCCCACCGGGTGGCCATCCCCCCCCTCTCAGGCTCACTGCTTATTGGACCCTCAGCGACGGCTGCTGGTTACAAGCGAGGGCTTGAAGCAAGAGAAGGGCACGATTGTGTGTGATCCTTCCCATAGAAACACAGGCGGCTTCTAGCAATGCAGGCTCCTCCCCACTCCCACCGCCCTGTCCCCGAGATTCTGCCGGGAAGGAGCAGTGTGGCCTGAGGAATTTCGGCTCCGACTGCCCTGCGGTCACCAGGCCCACAGGGGCTGGGCCTGGGACCCTCACCCCTCACCAGTGGAGGCTCACAGCCTAGGGCGCTGGGCGGCAGGGAGAAGCTCTGGGAGTCCTGTGGTCTCTCATCCCGCCGCCCAGCCTGGGGCCCCGGGTTGCCTGTGGCCAGAGGGCTCCTGGTGGGGAGAGACAGCGTCCTGTCATCATGGTACAACCCACAGCACCCACCAGGGCCTGGCACCCCCTGGGGACTCAGTAGGAGTCTGTTCCATCACATTCAAGAAGGTCGAACAAGGAGGCCCTCTGTCACGCTCGTTTTAAACGATCTTATTATTTTATTTTTATTTTTTAATATATTTTTATTGGTTTTAGAGAGGAAGGGAGAGGGAGAGAGAGAGATGGAAACACCAATGATGAGAGAGAATCATTGATCGGCTGCCTCCTGCACGCCCCCTACTGGGGATCAAGCTCACAACCTGGGCATGTGCCCTTGGCCGGAATCGAACCTGGGACCCTTTAGTCCTCAGGCCGACGCTCTATCCACTGAGCCACACCAGCCAGGGCTCGATCTTATTATTTTAAAAATATGAATAAGTGATACATTCTCTTGATTCAAAATCCAAAAGGTACAAAAGGTTGCGCCAGAAGAAAGTCTTCTGCCCGCCTGTGTCCCCATCACCATTTCCTCCGGGAGACACAGCGACCAGCTTCCGTGCCTGCAGGTTTGTTTGTCCAGCGATGAGTGAGCAGCGGCACACGTTCATTTTTCCTGGGAGGCCCATCCTGATGGCCACGCCACTTGGTACACAGGCTCTCTCTCTGCCCCCGATTTGTGGACCTTTGGGGGGGGGCCTCTTCCCCACTCCTGGGCAGGGAGACCCAGACGTGGGCCAGTG